TGTAGTCTAAGATTGAGGGAAAACGGAGGACTCGGGCGTCCTGAAGCGATGAGAAAACGGACGCCTCAGATGGGAGACTCAATAAAGAAGGCACAGCTACATGTTTTGTGGGCTATTGAGTGTAATATGAATCGACTGATTTTACGTTTACTGACATGTACAACCGTGGTCATTACAGCACCACCATCATTTGTTGGATTCTGAGTCACCTCAGATTCTCAAAATACTGGTAAATCGGAACTTAATGCTCCCGCGTCAGTGCTATAGAGTCATCTTGCTCAGTGCTAGTGCTGCTTTGCTGTCCAACAGATGAGTCAGGAGTAGGTCTCTTTGCAAAGAATCGACTAAGTTGCCCTTTTGTTCTGTCACGCATGACAAGCATTTTTTCTTTCTTTCCTGTCTCAAAGTTGTGCATGCTTTTCCTTGTAGTCTGAGTTACTTTCTCTACTACATTCAGTGCATTTGACGTGTTGACGATAATCTCGTGAGAAGTTGACTGCAGTGAAATTTTTTGGTTTCCAGTGTATTCAACAAAAAAGTTTATTACTTTTTAATAGTTGAATTAAAATTTGCTCGCTGGTTTTTGTCTCATTTTCCTTATTAAAAACTTATATACAGTACTGTACTGTCATGGACATATGTCCGCGGTTTTTCATACCTTGGTCATCGTTGAAAGGGAACGGCCAATGTTCCACTGAACAGCTACCTGTCTCGCATGCTGCATATGAAAACGAGGCCATCGTCTGCGGTTACAGTCAAATAACTGTCACTGTCAGTGTTTGTGAGCCAATACTGTACAGTACTAATGTTACCACTGACAACTTGCCAGATGCGCTGTGATTTATTATACTGTTTTGTTAAAATACTCTCAAAGCTCACCGTGTAATTTGTAGCCGCAGTATACAGTTCTCTATGAAATGATTCTTTTTAATATGTTTTTGAGGTCACCAAGACTATGATGAGTATAGACAAATGTATGGTAGTATGCATATGTATACCATGACTGACAACATACACCTAGTTATGCCACTGTTCCCACTTCCCAGTAAGACAGTAACTTGATTAATTCAGGAGCTGGAATATCTGTTGCAGTGTCTATTTAAAACAATATAAACTCACACACTGTGGTAAATAAAACACTTGGTTGCTACATCCAACCTTTACTTGCCTCATTTCACTACATATCTAAAATGACACAAAAGCAAATGTAACAATTCAAAGAGGAAACAACATAATATAACATGGTGGTTTTATCCTAATAATGAAATAAACTAAAATGATACTTACAAACAAGAACAAAATAATATTACAGTATTTAACATACAGTCAACCCTCACTTTACGCGGTTAATATAACCCACAGGGTACCGCGGAAAGTGAGAAACGCGTAAAGTGAACAACATAACATATGGGATTAATTGAAATAGAGACCGGGCCGACCCCCAAACTCCACTTTTTGACGACACACAACTATGTTGTAGTAAAAATTTTATCTTAACTTTATGATGGTATGCACACACAATTAATATAGAAGAGGTTAGGTTAGGAAAAATCAAGGTTAAGTTAGGAAAAATAAAGGTTAGGTTAGGAAAACTAAAAGTTAGGTTGAACACTTACGTTAGTAGAAGAGATGGGTCAGCATACGGGGATGGAGGCTGGTTCCGAGGCAGAGGGCAGGCTACTGGCCCTCAGGTGAGTCGCCATCACTGTCATCCACACTTGTCAGGGCCTCCCTGACAAATCCCTCAAAGTCATCATCACTGTCTCTACCTCTGTCACTATCACTGGCTTGGGCTGGCTGTGGTGGGTTGCGGGCGAAGAACTCTGTTATGCTTTGCTGACGGCTGGTGTTTATGTTGTCGTGATAAACCTTGAAGTAGGGCTCCAGAGTCTGCAACAGCTGGGTAGTGAAGATTTCATACCTGTTTGCGTCAGGGTCGTCGGAAAGGAGGAGCTTGACTTTCTCGACACACTCGATGGCACCCCTAACATTACTATGGGATAAGCGGTGTTCTTCTTGGGATGACACTCCACCTGCCTCTTCACTGATGTCATCATCATCTACCATGTCGTCGGTAGTCACATCAGGATCCCTTATCACCTCCAGGATGTCGTCGTTGGTGGTCTCGGAGAAGCCTGCAGCTGTAACACACTGCGCAGCTTCTCTGGCAAGGTCCACTGCTACTGCAACAGTCTGAACCTCACCAGTCACAGATTGACTCTGCCTAACGGCCGGAATGCCTTGCAACACATGTCTCCATGCGTGACGAACAGTTGCTACAGACAGCTGATCCCATGCCTCCACCAAGAAGTCCACAGCTTTCTTGATGTTGAATATTCTCCAGAATTGTTTTAAAAGTACTTGTTGCTCTGCCAACTGTTGATCCTCGTCGTCTTCGCTCTTGCTATCGGTGGTGGTGTCACTCAGGTTACGCAACTCTTCCCTGGTGTTGGTGTAGTCGTTCAGGAGCTTGAATTTTTTAGTAGAGAATGCAGCTTTTACATTACAGATTAACTCTTGGTCCATGGGCTGTAATATAGACGTAGTGTTGGGAGGAAGGAAGACCACTTTTACGTTGGGGTGACGATCTAACAGTAGGGGCGAGTGTCCTGGTGCGTTGTCCAGCAGCAACAAAATCTTGAATGGCACATTCTGTTGCTCACAGAATTTCTTCACATCGGGAACAAAACAGTCATCAAACCAGGAGAGGGACAGTGTAGAGAACATCCACGCCTTACGTGCGGTCAGCCAGTGGACATTTAGCTTGGTCATGTCCATGCTCTTGTAGGCATGCGGCTTGCGTGCTGTGTGGATCACCGATAACTTGAGCTTACAGGTACCGGAGGCATTGGTGGTAAACAGGACGGTGATGCGCTCCTTCTGCAACTTCTGGCCCCGAACTTGCTGGCATTCTTCACAACGAAGGTCTTGGAAGGTAGCTTTTTCCAAAAAAGACCAGATTCGTCCATGTTAAACACCTGGTCGTCGGTGTACTGTCCTTCCTCCATAATCTCACGTAAAAACGGAGGAAATTCCCTAGCCGCAGCACGGTCAGCACTAGCTTCTTCACCACCAATGTTGATATTGGTGATCTTGTTCCGCATCTTAAACCTCTGTAACCACCCAGAGGAAGCATTAAAGGGTTTGGGCTCTGTAATTCCCATCTTTCGTGACACTGCAGCATACAGTTCACGTGCGTACTCCTTAACAGAGCGCGTGTCGACCGCCATGTTCCGTCGCGCCTGACGCACCAAGTAGCTCACAAGTAATTTTTCCGTCTTGAGAAGCACCTGGTTGAGGAAATACTTGATCATAGAAGCACCTGTAGACTTTGTGATCTTCATGTGCTCCTTTATCTTGGCTGCATCCTTCTTTATCGTCCGGATCGTAGATTCGTTCACACCATGCTGGCGCGCCAAATCAACCTGTCTTGTTCCTTTCTCTAACTCTTGGATGATCTTGTACTTCACCTCGTAGCTTAAGGAACGTCGTGTCTTCTTGGGCTTAGGGCGGCTGGGTCCAGGCAAGGAAAGGTTTCTCTCTGGGGGCGGTGGTCCGGCGGAAGCCATTTTACAGAACAATGGATACACGATTACACGGTGTGGCCTGGAGGGATGAAACTGCCACGGCTAGGTCAAGCGTCGTCTTTCCTCCCTCCCTCCCTCCGCCGGGTGGACACGTCATATTACTCTAAACCAATTACAGCTAGCAGCGGAGGGAGGTAGGGATGCATGGCCAATCACAGTCCGATACGTCATATGACGTTACTGATAACGCAACAGAGACATGCACTGCTCAACCTTACCGCGCGGCTTGCCCAGGCGGAGGCGGGAGCAGGCGGGAGGGGCGAATCTAAAAATAGCGTCGAGCCGGACACTCCGCGTAAAGGGGTACACGCACCGCGGAATGTGAGCATCTTGGGTTCCGGCAGGGTACCGCGTAAACGTGGAAACGCGGAATGTGGGACTGCGTAAAGTGAGGGTTGACTGTAATGATATTTTAAAAGTCGGTAATTTGGTAGCCCCCCCCCCGTCTCCTATGCCTATGTTAATGATTGTACGTACTTTAAATAGATAGACACAGTATTACTACTGTAGATATATTTCAGTAAGGCTTTTAAACTGTGTAGAGTAATATTGTATGAATCCAGTTAGCTTTATCAGTGGAAAATGATTTTACTGCCTTTTATTACATTCTTCATGTTTGGCCATGTACACTCTTCAGTACAAGTAATGGTTTGAAACATATTCATTATTTATGTTCTATAATACATCCACCTACCCCAACATAATTTGTGGTCGACAGTGTATACACCACACTACAGCACAATTTATAGTTTGAAGCATGTCTAGATACATCACACTGCAACAATTTGTAGCTCTAACACATTCACAGACACCTCTTGAAAAGACAGTTTCTGGACTAACATACTGCAAATGCAAAAAACACAGTGCAGCACCAGTCAGCTTACTGTCCACACACCACATTGCAACATATTGTGGTTTTTACATGTCCACAGACAGCACAGAACAACAGTTTATGGTCTAATTATCTAATACATTCACAAGCATCCCACTGCAACACACTTTGTGGTCTGTAACATATCCAGGAACACCATGCTGCAACACAACCTATTGTTATAGCATGTCCACAAATTGAACACTACAACTAAACTTTCAGTCATAACATATCCACAAACACTAAAACACAACATTTAATTGTGACAACCTCACAAAAAACATTATAATAAAATACCCTTCTTGTCTGTAATTTTTCAACATACAATGTATACATCACTATAACACTCCTTGTGGAGTATTATGTCCACAAACATAACTCTCAAACAAAACTTGTGGTGTCCACAAGCACCGCAAGACATCACAACATTGCCACAATAATGGTGGTATTGATGTTGTCATGAGTAGTGACACATTTTAACATTCTAGGAACTACAAAATAACATACCTTTATTCCTTACTTTAAATAACTATCTTTACCAGATTCACAACAAGCAGCGTTCAGGGAACATAGTTACAGATGAGATGCGAGAAGAATTTGCAGAATTTTGGGAACATCACAAATATGACCCATTAAGAGGAAGGGATATTATATTATCTTCATTCTGTCCACAGGTAAGGAAGAGATGCTGTATTGATAGGGATATTATTTTTCTTGCAACCAATGTTATAGACAAAGAGGTGATGATAATTTGAACTGGTTTACACCCTATTATCTTCTTCTTCTTCTTCTTCTTCTTCTTCTTCTTCTTCTTCTTCTTCTTCTTCTTCTTCTTCTTCTTCTTCTTCTTCTTCTTCTTCTTCTTCTTCTTCTTCTTCTTCTTCTTCTTCTTCGTCTTCTTCTTCGTCTTCGTCTTCGTCTTCGTCTTCGTCTTCGTCTTCTTCGTCTTCGTCTTCGTCTTCGTCTTCGTCTTCTTCT